CATCTCCTTTCTGTGCAACTGGAGGTTGTGAATTTCTCCCCCACCAGGAGCATCTAGAGATATGGACACCAGTGGTGACATCTCTGCTCTATATGATTTAGTTCCATTGTCATTCCTCCACATTTAAACAGACAAGCCGGCGCTTTGTGGTCATGTGACTGCATAGAAAAACATTTTAAAAAGATTAATATTTCAATTTGCTATAAAATGTTTGCAGGGCAATATGGAGCAATGGGGAATCTACATTTTAAAGTCGCTTTATTGTATGGCCCTTCATTCTACTTTACGATTAAGCTTGCTAAAACATCTAAAAGCATGTTAAACACATTCTGCTGCTAGTGCATTTAATAGAAAAGGGGTCTCCAAGCTTTCTTAATAAAGGGCCATTGTACTGTCCTTCAGACTTGATCGAGGCTGGACTGTGACCAGTGGGAGTAGAAAATTCCCCTGTGACAGTTGGAGAAAACAATGCCTCAGGCTTGGTTTTCAGTAGGAGTAAGAAAATTACATAACCCCTGTGGTCAGTAGGAGAAAGAATAGTTCCCCATCTATGGTATAGGTGGGAGGAATAGTGCCAATTGTTCATATCAGTGGAAGGAATAGTGCCCCATTGTTGGTGTCAATGGAAGTTATAGTGCCCCATCATTGGTGTCAGTGTAAGGAATAGAGCCCTATAGTTAGTAACTGTGGAAGAAATGGTGCTTCAATGTTGGTGTCAATTGGAGGAATAATGCCCCATTATTGGTGTTAGTAGGAAGAACGGTGACCCAGTGTTGGCGTCAGTGGAGGTAACAGTGTTGGTGTCAGTGGGACGAATATTGCTCTGTCATTGGTGTCAGTGGAAGAAATAGTGCTTCATTGTTGGTGTCAATGGGAGGAATAGTGCCCTATTGTTGGTGTCATTGGGAGGAATAGTGCCCTATTGTTGGTGTCAATGGGAGGAATAGTGCCCTATTGTTGGTGTCATTGGGAGGAATAGTGCCCCATTGTTGAGCGGAGAGTAAATGGTGAGGGGACCCTCTCCTATGGTGACACTTTAATGGATCACTGAATGCAGTACAATATTTCATAATGTCTCCTAGTCCATTTATATAATTATATATAATGTTTATATATTGACTTATTTCTATGGACTTGCTATGTGCATTGATGTATATTATGCTTAAAAAGTGTTTTTGAGACACTATTTTTCACTTTGATTTGTTATCTATTCAGTAAGTGTATCTGTTGGTATAATTACACTGGTTTAGGTACAATGAGGTGCAGTGAGGTTATATTGTGTTCATTTTCACATTACATGTGTTGCAGTGTGTCAATTTTCTGCTGGTTGGTGCTGCACTGTTTATGTTAATAGTGCACCATTGTTGGTGTCAATGGGCAGAATAGTGCCACAGGGGTAAGATAAAGGCAAATAAAGGGCTGCATTTGGCTCAGTTTGAAGACCACTGTCATAGAAGGTGCATTTGTGTTTGTGTGTGTATGTTCAGCACAAATCACTAAATAACTAAAGTTTATCTAAACAAATGACCGTAAAAGTATCAACCACGTGTTGCTGTTAGTGTCTGTCATGGCTAGCGTCATACTTGCCATGTGATCTAGGTTTGGCGGGACAGTTCGGCTTTTTATTCAGCTGTTGTGAATAGGCCATGTCCAATGTTGTGTCCTGGGATCCTGAGTCTGTCTGTCATTACCTCTGCACATTACATTGTGCCCACAGATCATTCACTTGCAAAGCACATATCATTTGAATGAATCATTGCATTATTTTCATATAAATTATCTGCAGTCAGTGGCGTCCCGAGGCAGACACAGGGGGTGCGTGCCACACCAGGTGACATCTACTTCACAGGATGACACCGGACCCGCTCCACAAAAGGGTAATTTATAAAGCAAGCCGACGATCCCCATAGGATGGATCCGATCCATCCTGCGGGGATCGTTGGCTTGCTTTACAACTTACCTTTTCGTGGTTGCATGCCAACAATACCCGCAGGTTGGATCAGATCTGCAGATTGGGGAGCATAATGGATCGGACTTTGATCCATTATGCTCAATCCGCAGATCCGATCCATTCTGCAGGGATCATTGGAGGGGGTGTCACCAAGTGTTATCGCACCAGGTGACACCAACCCTAGGGATGTCCCTGTCTGCAGTAGCTCATTCATATGGCATGGGGTAGAAAATACCTTTCCCTGACTGCTGGATATGCCCTCCAAGAGACACATCTACCATCTGCTATCAGAAGGAAAGCTGCTTGGCAACACCAGTCATTACTGTTAGGATCACCTTTACCCCCTCCCACATGTACAGCTTATTTAAGGATTGTTTATACCTGGGTTGGTCTTTGAAAAGCAATTTGCAGAGGATCGCTTTTCAGAGAGTGGCAGAGGGTGGCTGACAGCCATTCAGAAGTCCATATTGCTACCTCCTGAATAACTGCTTTTTTTTTTTTTTTTTAATAACCGAACATGGTGTTTGAATGGTATTTGCAGTTAGGAATTTTGAGGTATGTATTTTTTTTTATTAACAATAGTAAAAATTTAGCCAGCTTACTCTTACAGTTAAAAAAGAAAATACTGAATGTATTCACATTCCAGGAGAAGCACCAGTGGTAGCACTAGACAGTTTTCATATAAACTACATTTTGAAAGTATAGCATAGTTCCTGTTCCTTTCCCAGCAAAACCTTGGCCACCTTTTAAATGGAAAAATACTCTCAATGCAAAGCTCACAAAGAGAAAGAAAAGCAGCAACTTTATTTGAATGGGTAAATACAGAGGCAGGTTGTGTCTGTCTCTCTCTAAATTCCTACACACCATTACGCACATGGTGTAGTTGCAGCAACAACCACAAAGCCCTGTTCTCACTGAAAGAAAGCCAACTTCTCCTTAACATGTTACGCAGGAATCTGAGCCTTCTTAGAGGTTGCCCCTGAGAGGAGGGGCTGGTGTAAGGGCCAGTTCACACTACATGCGTTTCAATTGCGTTTTTTTTCTGCATCCAAAATGCACAGAAAGTAGGTTATATGGTTGACGCAGTCGCGCGCTGGAGCTCTTATGGCGCAAAACCAGATCCCCTTGCGCGTTCTCCCTCTACAAAGCTGCCTTCCTCACCTACACCACCTCCCTCCACGCCGCCAAGCAAGCCTGTTTCGTAACCCTTATCAACACCCTCTCCACCTGTCCTCGCCGGCTCTTCTCCACTTTCAAATCCCTGCTCTCTCTCCCCCCCCCCCCCCCCCCCCCCCCCCCCCCCTCCACTCAGCACCTCTCTCACCGCTCACGAGATTGCCAATGATTTCCAAAATAAGATTGACGCACTCCGTAAGGACATTGTCAACTCACAATCTACCTCTCCACCCAGCCCCCCGCCCTCCATCATCCCCTCAACCCTCCCCTCCTCCAACCTCATAGCCACACTACCCCCCGCTATGCCCAACGCCCCGCACACTATCACCTCCCCAACGCTCCGCTCCTTCAGCCCAGCTACCCCTGAGGAGGTCTCTAAGGTCTTCACCGAAGCCCGCCTCACCACCTGCCACCTGGACCCTATCCCCTCACAGCTCCTCCAGCCCCCCCCCCCCCCCCCCTCCATCATTCACTCCCTCACCCACATCTTCAATCTCTCCCTCTCCACTGGCACTTTCCCCTCCCCTCTAAAGCACGTGCACATCACCCCCATACTCAAAAAACCCTCCCTTGACCCCACTGACCTGAACAACCTTATCTCCCTGGTACCATTCACTTCCAAGCTCCTTGAGCGCTTAGCCTACAATCGCCTAAGCGGTCACCTCACTGATAACAACCTCCTTGATCCTCTACAGTCTGGCTTCCGTCCCCTGCACTCCACCGAAACCGCCCTACTTAAAATCACCAACGACCTGCTAAACGCCAAAGCTAATGGCCATTACTCAGTCCTCCTGCTCCTTGACCTCTCCGCGGCCTTCGACACTGTCGACCACCCTCTCCTTCTTACTAAACTGCACTCCCTTGGCATCAGGGACGCTGCTCTCTCCTGGTTCTCCTCCTACCTATCCCAACGCTCCTTCAGCGTCACCTATAACACTCCCACCTCCCCCTCTCTCCCCCTCTCTGTCGGAGTCCCCCAAGGCTCTGTCCTCGGGCCCCTTCTCTTCTCCATCTACACCTCCTCCCTTGGCAAACTAATACACTCCCACGGCTTCAATTACCACCTCTATGCCGACGACACACAAATTTACCTCTCCACCCCCCATCTCACCCCCTCTCTCTCCGCCCGCATCGCCCACCTCCTGAACGACATATCAGACTGGATGTCGCTCCATTTCCTCAAATTAAACCTGTCCAAAACCGAGCTCCTGGTCTTCCCCCCACCCCACGTCCCCCCCCCCCCCCCCATCCTCTCCATCACTACTAACAATGCCACCATCACTCCCACCCCACATGCCAAAGTCCTGGGTGTCACCCTGGACTCGAACCTTTCCTTCCTACCTCACGTCCAATTACTATCAAGATCATGCAGGCTCCACCTTCGCAACATCTCCAAAATACCTACATTCCTCACCCCAGACACTACTAAACAACTCGTACACTCCCTCATCATCTCACGCCTGGACTACTGCAACTCTCTTCTCACTGGCCTACCCAAACAAATGCTATCCCCACTCCAGTCTATCCTGAACTCAGCGGCTAGACTCATCCACCTCACCAACTGCTCCACATCTGCCTCCCCCCTCTGCCAATCCCTTCACTGGCTCCCGATTGCCCAACGCATTAAATTCAAATTACTAACTCTGACCTACAAAGCCATTCACAACGCCGCCCCAAACTACCTAACCGACCTGATACCCAAATACTACCCTATCCTTGCCCTTCGCTCCTCACAGGACCTCCTACTCTCTAGCTCCCTGATCTCCTCCTCCCACGCAGGATTTCTCCAGGACTTCCCCCATCTTCTGGAACTCCCTACCCCAATCCATCAGACTGTCACCTACCCTCCTCACCTTCAGGCGCACCCTGAAAACCCACCTCTTCAGGGAAGCCTACCCCACCCTCACCTAACAACTGACCTCCTCCACTCCTCCCACCACTCCATCCCCCACAGCCATTTCCTCCTGTACCACTATCCCCTCCCTCCTAGATTGTAAGCTCGAAAAAGCACGGCCCTCGGACCCCTCGTGTATTGTATTGTTTCTGTCTTGTCTCATGTTCTGCCCCTCTTGCTATTGTACAGCGCTGAGCAAACCCTTTGGCGCTATATAAATACTGTATAATAATAATAATAATAATAGTTCACATCAGGGTTTGCAGTTCCAGTGTGTTCTGGTTGCAGAAAAAAAAGCAGAACAGGCTGCATTTTTCCTGCGCAGAACTGTACTGGAACGCGGTAAAATGCACACCAAAAACGCACTGGAACACACATGTCCCTATTCAAATTGAAGAAATAGAGAGAGGAAAAAATTAGCTGGAATGCATAAAAAAACGCACTGGAACGTGCCAAAAATTTATCAAAAATGCACCGGAACGTGCCAAAAACGTGCATGCAAACAAGTATCCAGAACGCATCTGTACTGCGTTTCTATAGTGTGAACCAGGCCTAAGTGTCACTCTCTAATACTGTGCATTTTAGATTCCTGGTGCCACTGTGGCTCAACGGTTCCTCATATACAGAGATAGGTGGACACGAAGGTGGGCAAAATGAGTGAAGTCAGTGACAAGTATTTGAATACTAAGAGGAGAATGCGGGGAGGCTAACCAAAACATAATTGAACTGGGCTCACTGGCTAATACTCCAGTCTTCTGGTGGCCTATGTAAACACTTTTTTTGTGCTAAAAGTATGCTCTAGGCACGCTCCCAGCACAGTTACCACCAGTACCTGGAAAACTCCCGATGTACACTTGAAATTAGGAGCTTTCTGATCATGTGACCACTGTGACAGCCAATCACAGCTTTCACGTGACCGGAATGTCGACTTCACCTCCTGGCATTTAGAAGGGCCAGGAAGCGCCAGCAGGAAAGAGTTAAACTTTAGTTATCATGCATGTGTAGCCCTGTTTTGGGAGGAGGGATTATAACAAATGGCCCTCCCCAAAGAGGATATTGCACTAAGGTGTCCGTTTATGACACAGAGAATAGCTGAGATTCAGAGGATCGCAGCTATTCTCTGGTCATTCACAGTTTATGACACTCAGGAGATCAGCGGAGAACATGTTCAGCCTTTCACTGTAGATCTGTGTTCTCCCTCCAGATTCTCCAGCCCAGAGCTGGAGAATCGGAGGGACCGCAAACTAAGCAGCGATAATTTACCTCTATTTAGTAAACTGATATTTTACTGTAATCCCGCGAGATTATAGTAAAATCAGCCGTTTTCCAGCATTTGTAGACCGTTCTCCAGCGTTTGTAGACCGTTCTCCCTTCGTTCGGAGAACTGCTTCATAAAAGGCATTCACAGGAGAACTCTGTTCTCCGAGAATGCCGGAGAACTGAGCATTTACCTCTGGTTCATAAACGGACACTTATACCTGTAGGTAAATAAGAGAACCAGAACCTTTGTTAAGTGGAAGAGTAGGTTTGATAATAAAGTTGGCAGTGCCTCCACCCAGGACAAGGCCTCTGTGAACAAAAGGGATTTCCTTCCTAGGAAATGAACCAATATCTAATCAAAGTAATTGAGAGAAGTGGAAATGCAGCAACCAGCATTAACCATAAATATATACAGTAGATGCACACTAGTATGGAAATAATACAAGCGTTATATACAGTAAGAAAAGGTTAATAATAATGCATACATCCAATGTACAAACAGGTATTATCAACAAAGAGCCAACAAAAGTCCTGGTGGGATTGTGCACATATAGCCGTATACATAAAATTATTTATAGAGGTACCTTCAGATGAATGTTGTAGCAAAGTCCAGCTGCAGAGGTCCCAGAAGATGATTGTGATGTGGAATCCATCTTTGTGTCATAGACTTGAGGTCAAGATCTTCAATAATGAGGAGACCCTCCAGCCATTGTCCAACCAGCCTGGAACACAGATATTCATCAGCAGAAACCATGGTTTGGAACTGGAGCTCAGAGTTATCCTATCCACTCTACGCTTAGTCCCTAGTAGCATCTATGCTGTCATGCAACCAGACCTATCACTACCAGAAGTGGCTGTTGAATGACTAACATGGCTCTAGCCTATGCTGGTTATTAAGCCCTAAACTAAAACTAGCAATAGAATCCCAGACCAGAAAGAGCAGAGTTAACTAAAATAACAGGAGCTGCATAAAAACTGTAATGCAATAAATAGCTTCACCTACTAATATACTGGAAGGTGACCATTACACACATACAGTAGCACAGACCAAGATATCTTGTACTGTGCACGTGAGATAATAAATAACAATAGGAAAAGATACATCTCTCATCAGTCTTTGGAGTATATATACAGTGCCTTGAAAAAGTATTCATACCCCTTGAAATTTTCCCCAGTTCGTCATGTTACAACCAAAAACGTACATGTGTTTTATTGGGATTTTATGTGATAGACCAGGGGTCTCCAAACTTTCTAAGCAAAGGGCCAGTCTACAATCCTTCAGACTTTAGGGGGGCTGGACTGTGACCAGTGGGAGTAGAAGATGCTCCAGCATCAGTGGGCATAAACAATGCTCTATTATTGGTTTGAAAGGAAGAAATGGTGCCCGACCATTGATTTGAATGGAAGGAATAGTGCCCCATTGTTGGTATCAATGGGAAATAGTGCCCCATCAACATTGTCAATTGGTGGAATAGTGCCCCAAGAACCATATAAAGGCAAGCCAAGGGCCACATCAGGCCCCTGGGCCGCAGTTTGGAGACGAAAGTGATAGACCAACACAAAGTAGCACATAATTGTGAAGTGGAAGGAAAATGATAAATGGTTTTCAAAATTTTTTACAAATAAATATCTGAAAAGTGTGGCGTGCATTTATATTCACTCCACTGAGTCAATACTTTGTAGAACCACCTTTCGCTGCAATTATAGCTGCAAGTCTTTTTGGGGAGGTCTCTACCAGCTTTGCACATCTAGAGAGTGAAATGTTTGCCCATTCTTCTTTGCAAAACAGCTCAAGCTCTGTTAGATTGGATGGAGAGCGTCTGTGAACAGCAATTTTCAAGTCTTGACGCGGATTCTCAATTGGATTTAGGTCTGGACTTTGACTGGGCCATTCTAACACATGAAGATGCTTTGATCTAAACCATTCCATTGTAACTCTGGCTGTATGTTTAGGGTCATTGTTCTGCTGGAAGGTGAACCTCTGCCCCAGTCTCAAGTCTTTTGCAGACTCTAACAGGCTTTCTTCTAAGATTGCCCTGTATTTGGTTCCATCCTTCTTCCCATCAACTCTGACCAGCTTCCCTGTTACTGCTGAAGAAGAAAGCATCCCACCACCATACTGCCACCACCATGTTTCACGGTGGGGGTGGTTTGTTCAGGGTGATGTGCAGTGTTAATTTTCCGTCACACATAGTGTTTTGCTTCTAGGCCAAAAAGTTCAAATTTGGTCTCATCTGATCAGAGCACCTTCTTCCACACGATTGCTGTGTCCCCCACATGGCTTTTTGCAAACTGCAAACAAGACTTCTTATGGCTTTCTTTCAACAATGGCTTTCTTCTTGCCACTCTTCTATAAAGGCCAGATTTGTGGAGTGCATGACTAATAGTTGTCCTGTGGACAGATTCTCCCACCTGAGCTGTAGATCTCTGCAGCTCCTCCAGAGTAACCATGGGCATCTAACAAATCTCTGAGGGCTTCACAGAACAGCTGTATTTATACTGAGATTACATTACACACAGGTGGACTCTATTTACTAATTAGGTGACTTCTGAAGGCAGTTGGTTCCACTAGATTTTATTTAGGGGTGTCAGACTAAAGGGGCTGAATACAAATGCATGCCACACTTTTCACATATGTTTCACATATTTGTAAAAATATTTTGAAAACCGTTTATCATCTTCCTTCCACTTCACAATTATGTGACACTTTGTGTTGGTCTATCACCTAAACTCCCAATAAAATACACCTATGTTTTTGGTTTTAACATGACAAAATGTGGAAAATTTCAAAGGGTATGCATACTTTTTCAAGGGACTGTATATATATATATATATATATATATATATATATATATATATATATATATTGTGTGCTATGGGCAACATTTGTAAACTATTAACCTCTTGCCGACCGCGCATAGCCAAATGACGGCTTCACCGCGGCCGGCCAGTTCTGAGTGGACGTCATATGACGTCCTCCCAGAACGCGCTCTCCTGCGCGCCCCAGGGGGCGCGCATCCGGCGATCTCCGTGATCGCTGTGTCCTACGGACACAGCTGATCACGTGATGTGGTGAAAGGCCGATCCCACCGGCCTTTTACCACGTGATCAGCGGTGTCCAATGACACGCTGATCACAGGGAAATGCAAGTGCCGTTTCTCGGCTGCACTTTCCTCACGCTGTCAGATCGTGAGGAAAGTACTGCCGAGAACCGGCAGTTGTCAGAGCGGGGATCGGCACCGATCATCAGGGCACTGATGATCAGTGCCCTGATGATCGGTGCCCAGCAGTGACACCCGCAAGTTCCGCCCAGCAGTGCGCCCACTAGCCCCGCCCACCCGTTCCCAGCAGTGCACCCACCTGTGCCCAGCAGTGCACCCACCTGTGCCACTCTGCAGTGCCACCTACCTGTGCCCAGAAGTGCCACCTACATGTGCCCAGCAGTGCCACCCACCTGTGCCCACCCACCTGTGCCCACCTGTGCCCACCAGTGCCACCCACCTGTGCCCACCCACCAGTGCTGCCCACCAGTGCCACCCACCAGTGCAGCCCAGCAGTGCTGCCAGTCAGTGCCACCAGTCAGTGCCCAGGGGTTGTGCCAGTCAGTGCCGCCAGTCAGTGCCCAGAAGTGATGCCAGTCAGTGCCGTCTATCAGTACCCATCATCAGTGTCACCTATCAGTGCCGCCTATCAGTGCTGCATATCAGTGCCGCCTATCCGTGACCCCTAATTAGTGCTGTCTATCAGTGCCGCCTATCCGTGCCACCTCATTAGTACTGCCTATCAGTGTCCTTTAGTGCTGCCTATCAGTGCCCATCAGTGCCGCCTATCAGTGCCCATCAGTGCCGCCTCATCAACGCAAATCAGTGAAGGAGAAAAAATACCTGTTTGAAAAATTTTATAAAAGATACAAATAAACTTTTTTTTTTTTTCAAATTTTTTGCACTTTTTTTAATTTATAGCGCAAAAAGTAAAGCGCCCAGTGGCGATTAAATACCACCAAAAGAAAGCTCTATTTGTGAGAAAAAAAATGATCAAAATTTCATATGGGTACAATGTTGCATGACCGCGCAATTGTCAATCAAAGTGCGGCAGCGCTGAAAGCTGAAAATTGGCCTGGTAAGGAAGGGGGTATAAGTGCCTGGTAGGCAAGTGGTTAAACGTGTGATCACTTGCCTATTAATTAATTCTGGTCTAGGTTTAGCAGCAGCTGTTCCATGAACAGACAATGTGGTCTCAGACTCTCTCTCCACTTCACATCCTTGTTCTGGGTTTTTTAACCCAGCCCCACAGAGACAGAAAGTGATGTACAAAAATGACTCACAGCACAGCCATTTGCAAAGACAAATAGTAGAGGGCATCAGATCTATTACTGTGAACGGGCAGCACAACCAAGCACAGCAACAAACTGTTATGTCGCCTGGCACATGTGCACTAGCATGTTTGAGATGTGCAGTGGTGTGATCCTGTGACTGCTGTGTTGGTGGACACAGTGGATCATGGCACTCGGTGCCCCGCTGCTGTGAGTGGCTGGGGTATCATGTGATCACTATTACCAATCATAGCGATCACATGATTACAATTTAAACAAAACAGTCATAAATGTTTTCCATTCATGAATAAATTGCTTGCTGTAGTGAAGTTGTAACTGATCCACAGCTATCACATGGTACCTGACAGGGGCGGACTGACAACTCATGGGGCCCCCGGCAATAGGGGATCATGGGGGCCCTGTGTCTTTGCCCAAACTCAAAAAAAGCCTATGAAAAAGGTACCAGGGGCATCTCATGGGGCCCCCTACTGACCCCGGGCCCTCGGGCAGTGCACAAGTTTCCAAATGGTCAGTCCGCCCCTGGTACCTGACACCCTGTACCATATGATTAGCTGTAATCAATCACAGCAAGTCAACTGGAAGTAAGCTGTCATAAATGGAAAGCCATTCATGACAGTTGATTGTTGCTTATAACAGTGATACTTTGAAGACAGTATGTAATAGTAAAAAATAATTTAAAAAAAGTTAAAAAAGAAAGGTTTAAACATTTTACATTTTTGTTTTACATACTTTCACCAGTCAGTATCCCTGATCACCACCACACCAGTCATATGACTATCATTATGATGCTGTACTGCACTGGTGACGGTATGCAAAACAAATTGTGAAAAAATAAATAATTTTATTTATTTCTATTTCCAAAAAATTACAACTTCAAAAAACTTGCCATGCCTCTTACTAAATACCTAGGACAGTCTACTTTCCAAAAAAGGGTCACTTGGGGGGTATATGTACTGTCTTGGCATTTTAAGAAATGAGAGGCTGTCAGAATTGATCAATTTTCAAATATACTACATACCATAGTTTGTAGACTCAATAACTTTCACACAGATAAAATAATATACACTAATTTGGGCTATTTTTACCAAAGAAACGCAAATAAATACATTTTGGCCTAAATTTATGAAGAAAGACTATTTATTTGCAAAATCTTAAAACAGTAACTAAGAAAATAAATGCTGTTTTTTTTTCATTTATATAGCCAAAAAATAAAAAAAAATGGTGATTAAATACCACCAAAAGATAGTGAAAAGTATACCTTATGGCGCCGCTTCAAGCTATAGATGGAAGGAAAAGGATCACCCCACCGGCAAGTGAAAACAGGACAGCATAAGTCTGAGCGATTACAGTATCAGCCAATACAAGTGAAAGGATGGACGGTGCTCAACTGACCGCAGGAGTCCAATGTAGAGGAATGGCCTCTTCCACCGTACTGGCCACGCCTTCTGACACGTTTCACCTGCCAATCGGGGCTTGGTCACAGAGGTCTGGTGGGTGGGATGAAACACGTCAGAGGGCGGGGCCAGTATGGCTGCTGAGGCCATTCCTCTACATTGGACTCCTGGGGTCGGTTGAGCAGCGTCCAAATCCCTTCACCACCAAAAGGCAGCGCTATTCGCGTGAAAAAAAGATAGAAATTTCATTTGTGTACAGCATTGCATGACAATGCCAGTTAAAGCAGAACAGTGCTGAATAGCAAAAATGCCCTGATCGTGAAGGGGTAAAACCTTCCGGAGGTCAAGTGGTTAATTTACCATTTGACACCAGATCACCAATGCCAGAAGTCTGCCTGTCAAAATAGGAGAGTTGGAAGCTTTGGTGCTTCATTCTTCTGCACTCTTTCAGAAAAAGTGAAGAGAAGAGAAAATATCTCAAAGTGAGTGTGAAAGAGGACCTTGTTGGTGGAAATTGTGATGATGCTGAGGCATTATAGTGGAGCTCCACCACAAAAGGGGAAGTTCCGCTTTAAGCCTTTGTCCCCCGCTCCCCATTAAGGATTGGCACCTTTGGGGAGCAGGGGGGGGGGCGGATACCCGAATTTGACAGGTACCCACTCCCACTTCAAATGACTAGGCGATCGGAAGCAGAAGTTGTCCTCCTACACTCACTCCCTGTAGTCTTCTGGGATATGTGACAGGTCCCAGAAGACTATGGGGCCATTCACAAAACGCAGCGCTTCTCGCGCATGCGCAGTGGGCACTCGGCTGTGAATCTGCAAACTGTCACAGCGGGGTGCCCACACTGAAGATGCCGGTGCCAGGGAAAGAAGACGGCCGGTGAAACCAGCGGTGGTGAGGACACCGCTGGACCGAGGGACAGGTAAGTGTCTGTATTTTAAAAGTCAACAGCTATAGTTTTTGTGGATGCTGACTTTTATTTTTTATTTTTCCAGGTGGAACTCCGCTTTAAGAAAGGAGATGCACATGGGTGTATGTACTTCAAAGTTAGAGTTTGTTACAGGCTCCCTGTGTAAATGAGGATAGACTAGGTTGCAAGGGCTGGGTAATAATAGAAGATTTTACCTACCCTTAAATTGAGAGGAGTAATGGCAGCGCTGGATCAGTAAAAGGGCTGAAATCAGCTGCTTAACAGTGTCAGCCACCTTAGGGATGTGTTAGCCATTTTAGAGTTGTTCATATAAACGGTTTCCTAGGAATATGTCTGGACATGTCTGATACTCAGTAAACCTGTTTATGAGAAGTACTGCAGTCATGGCCTCATGACTTATAGACTTGTTTATGAGTTATAAGGGGAATTTCCAGAACATCGAGAGGATTACAGCCTTATATTGGGCGACATATGATGGACATGGTTGGATAGAGATGAAGCCATTAGTTGCTGTTAAAGGAGAAGTTTTGGGTACCAAAAAAGCAAACATACATATTCACCTCCATGTTGCAGCATCGGTGTGATACTGCAGCTGTCCCCACCGGCTCTAAAGCTGGCCATACACGTGTAGATTCTCAGACGGGTATATTCGTATGAAAATTCTTTGAACACTTGGTGAATGAGCGAATGTTATTTGAAAATTGTCTTCTGCTTTTAACATTTGAGTTTAAAATCCATGTAATTTCTGAATGATAACCACATACATTGGCCGAAAATTTGTTTGATCGAGTAAAGTTTGCCTTCCTGCCCCTTCAAATTTTCCTGTTACTGCTGTCAAAAACAAACATCGGTTTGACTCCACTAGCGATTAGAAAATCAAACTAATATTCTTGAAATGAAAATTCTCGAACGAAAATCTATAAGTGTATGGCCAGCTTAAGACTGAGAAATGAGCAATTACATGCCCATGAATCATCCAGTTCTTGTATTCTCCAGAGCAGGGAGTGGTGACTGTCAACTCCACAGTTAAAGTGTTATTAAACCCAGGACTCTTCATTCACTATATCTGGTCTCCCATAGTACACAGATAATGGTAATGTGATTATTTTAGTAAATATAAACTGCTAAATACCTTTTCCCATCAGCAGTATATAGTAGTCTTGTGACGTCTATCAGTGTCCAGCCAGCACTAGCTAAAGCTTGTAGGAGGAGTTTTCTTTCTACTCTAGGAGGATGCAGAACCCCTGATCTCTGACTGACCCAGGCCCGAACTGGCCATAGGGCACACCGGCTTTTGCCTGGTGGGCCAGTACCGCCTGGATAGGAGAGGCGGCCAGGTGGCGCATAGAGGAAGCTTCCTTCTTTCTTTCCCTCCTTCTTTATTTTCCTCTTTCCCCCTTTCTTTCTTTCCCTCCTTCCTTTTCCCCCCCCCCCCCCCCCGTTGTTTTTCTTTCCCTCCTTCCTTCTTTCCCTCCTTCCTTTCCCTCCTTCCTTCTTTCTTTCCCTCCTTCTATACATCTCTCTTTCTTTTCATCCTTTTTTTCCTTCCTTTCTTCCTTCTTTCCTTGTCTCCCTCCTTCCTTCTTTCCACATTTTCTTTCCCTCTTTCTTTCCCTTCTTTCTTTCCCTCCGTCCTTCTTTCCCTCTTTCCTTCTATAACCCTTTCCTTCTTTCTTTCTTTCTTTCTTTCCTTCCCTCCCCCTTTCTTTCCCTCTTTCTCTTCTTCTATGTCCCTCTTTCTTTCTCTCTCTGTCTCCTGTTTCCCTCCTTCCTTCTTTCCCACCTTTCTTTCTTTCTTTCTTTCTCTTTCCTTGTCTCCCTCCTTATTTCTTTCACTCCTTCCTTCTTTTTCTTTCTTTCTCTCCTTCCTTCCTTCCTTTTTTTTTCCTTCCTTCTTTCCCTCCTTCCTCCTTTGTTTATTTCCCTCCTTCTTCTTCGTTCCCTCCTTCCTTCGTTCCCTTTCTTTCCCTCCTTCATTCCTTCTTTCTTTCTATACAGCTCTTTCTTTCTTTCTTTCTCTCTGTCTCCTGTTTCTCTTCTTTCCCTCCTTCTATACGTCTCTCTTTCTTTATCTCTCTGTCTGTCCCGTTTCCCTCCTTGCTTCTTTCTTTCCCTCTTTCTTTCCCTCCTTCTTTCTTTCCCTCTTTCCTTCCTTCCCCTCCTTCCTTTCTTTCCCTCCTTCCTTACGTCTCTCTTTCTTTCTCTGTCTCCCGTTATCCTCCTTCTTTCTTTCTTTCTTTCTTTCTTTCCCTCTTTCTTTCTTTCCCTCCTTCCTTCTTTCCCTCTTTCTTTCTTTCCCTCCTTCTTCTCCTTCCCTCTTTTCCTCCTTCCTTCTTTTCTTCTTTCTTTCCCTCCTTCCTTCTTTCCCTCATTCCTTCCTTCTTTCCCTCCTTCCTTCTTTCTTTTTATATGTTTCTTCTTTCTCCTCTTTCCCTCCCTCTTTCTTTCTTTCCCTCCTTCTTTCTTTCCTTCCTTTCCTTCTTTCCCTGTCTCTTTCCCTCATTCCTTCCTTCTTCCCTCCTTCCTTCTTTCTCTCTCTCTCTCCTGTTTCTCTTTCTTTCTTTCTTTCTTTCTTTCTTCTTTGTTGTTTCCCTCCTTCTTTCCTTCCTTCTTTTGTTCCCTCCTTCTATATGTCTCTCTTTCTTTCTTTCTCTCTCTGTCTCCCGTTTCCCTCCCTCCTTCCTTCTTTCTTTCCGTTTCTTTCTTTACCTCCTTCTTTATTCTCCTCTTTCCCTCCTTCCTTTTTTCCCTTTTCGCTTCTTTCCCTCCTTCCTTCTTTCCCGCCTTCCTTTCTTTCTTTCCCTTCTTCTTTCTTTCTTTACCTCCTTCTATACGTCTCTCTTTCTTTCTCTCGGTCTCCTGTTATCCTCCTTCTTTCTTTCCCTCCTTCCTTCTTTCCATCGTTCTTTCTTTCCTTCCCTTTCACTTTTTCCTTCTTTCTTTCCCTCCTTCTATACGTCTTTCTCTCCCTGTCTCTGTCTCCTTCCTTTCCCTCCTTCCTTCTTTCCCTCTTTCTTTCTCTCCTTTGGAGTGTGGGAGGTGGAGATGTGGGAGATGGAGTACCCGGAGGAAACCCACGCAGGCACAGGGAGAACATGAAAACTCCAGGCAGGTGGTACCGATTTGAACCAACAACCCTAGTACTGCCAGATGGAAGAGCTAACCATTTCGCCACTGTTATGCAACACTGTGCCCATATGACATTTTTATCATTTCTTTGAGACAGATACAGCTTTCTTTTGGTGGCATTTGATCACCACTGGGTTTCTTATTTTTTGCTGTGTAAATGAAAAATTACCAAAAATTTAGAAAAATAATTTTTGCTTCGTTTTATAACATTTTGCAAATTCATAAATTTAGGCCAAAGTGTATTCTGCTACATTTTTGGGGTACAAATAACCCCTGCTCTGTGAGCCGATGTGTGACTGATGTACAGGTATGTTAGCCCGCATCAGCAAAGCTACCCATCCACCGTCTATAGGCAATGGGTGGGCGGGAAGAGGTTAACGGTGTCAGTGACTATTGTGCTATCATTTTCCACAATTGGTAGAGGAGTTTGTGCTTTACAGAAATATTATGTGGTACAAGGTGACCCTCTTCCTCATGGGACACTGTAACACAATTGTGTGAAGTGACCCTCTTCCTCATGGGACACAATTGTGTGAAGTAACTCTGGAGGGAGTCCAGCTCACACCAGCCACAGTGCCAGCAGAAGCCCATCCCGCGCCTGCGCACTGCCTTCTCCGGTCCGCCATTCGCTTCACGCATGCACACTGGCCAGCGGCGCTTTATCAACAGTGCGCAAGTGTGCTTCCTCTCGGTAGTGCCCCCCGTCCGTGACGTCATTGCGCCGGAAGCCTCCCGATCCGTGGCCCTTCGGTAGCGTCGCTCCGCACACACAAAGCCAGGCCGTCGCCATCTTATGTACAGGCCGGCGGAGAGCTCGGGCCCCGGGCATGACCCCGCTGTCTCCTCGGGCCTCCGCCGGGCGGAAATGAGGCCAAGATGTCGGTCTCTGGGCTAAAGGCCGAGCTGCGGCTCCTCGAGTCTATCTTCGGGAAGGAGCACGAGAGGTTCCGGATCATCAGCTGGAGGCTGGACGAGCTGCACTGTGTGTTCATCCAGAGCACCGGGGGGGCCCTGACCATCCACTGCAACATCACGGTGAGTGTGAGGAGCGGACAGGCCTCACTATAGGGACCTCCGCACCTCGTCTCTGCCTCGTAGGGGGGACCCGGATGGAGGGGCTCTGGGTGTGCTCAGTACTGGGGGGACAGGCCCGGTATGGTCTGTCTATGGTGTGCATTGCCAGTATAGTCCTATGGGGGCGCCATGTCTGCCTCTCACCACAACACAAGTCAGCTGACCAGAGTGGGGGCTCCACATGTAAGGTGTATGTGATGGCACACATCTCCTCTATGGCTGCTCATTAGTCTGCAGACATGCTGGCTGCTTTCCTTTGCTGTGTTTTCATTATTTATGCTAGCTACACACCTGTGCGACCGGTGCTTCACAGGTAGGTGGCCCATTCATTGCAATGCACTGCTGTCCCTGCCGAAACGCAGGGAAAAAAAATTGCAGACTTTTTTTTTTTTTAATTGCCCTGTGCCAAGTCACATGGTGCTGCGTTATCATGTGACTTGGTGCCCACAAAGATGTGCCACATTTTTTTGATGTGTGGGGTGCCATTATTACAGGAACTTGTATAGCGCCATCAATCTACACAGCGCTTTACATATATATGTTGTATGTTCACATCAGTCCCTAACCCTCAAGGGGTATGATTTTGCACATAGTGTGACCAAACCCTAACTCTTAAAAGCTTGCAGTCGCATGAGTGGGTCGCAATTGGCTGTGGTACTTGCCCGCCAAACTCATCAGGGGTCGCTGTGGTCACACATCAGGGGTCGCTGTGGTCACACATCAGGGGTCGCTGTGGTCACAAGTTTAGTTTGTTAGTCGTGTAAAGTCCATCTAACAATGCCCCTACCAGACAGTGCTGCTTGTTATTTATTTCAGGTACTTGTATAGCTCATCAATTTACACAGCGCTTTACACATATATATTGAACATTCACATCAGTCCCTAACCCTCAAGAGGCGTAAAATCTAAGGTCCCTAATTCACATTCATATACAAGGGCCAATTTAGACAGGATCCAATTAACCTACCAGCATGTATTTGGAGTGTAGGAGGAAACCAGAGTACCCAGAGGAAACCCACGCAGGCACAGGGAGAACAAGCAAACTCCAGGCAGGAGGTGCCGTGGCTGGGATTTGAACCAACAACCGTGGTACTGCCAGGCGGAAGTGCTAACCAATTAGCCACTGTGCTGCCCATAGCCACTGTGCTTGTTCAACCATAACATCCCCGAGATAGAAGTATTGCTGGCCATATCACCAGAGGAATCTAGATGTACGCCTATATTCACACTTGTGCAGGTTAGAATGCTCCCCCCCCCCCCAACACTTGCTTGACAACACTCTTAAATCTAGGAGCTGTCCCTTCTCTGCTCTCTTCCTGGATTCAAGGGCTTTGCCGAGAGCAGTGGAAGCCATTGGCTCCTGCTGTTGTCAGTCAAATCCAGTGAGGGAGTGGGGCCAAGTCAGGCTGTGTGCGTCTATAGGAACGCACCTGCAGCTTTCTATGGGGGCACTCGGTGAAAAGGGGGAATCTAGAATGCAAGTAGGGGACCCCGGAAGAGGTGGTTTGAGGCTGCTCTGTGCAATGCTATTGCACAGAGCTGGCAAGTGTAACATGTTCGTTAAAAAAAATAAAAACACACCACACGTAAGCCTTTACAATCACAGTAATTTGACTGACAGCAGCAGGAGCCAAAGCTTGTCTGAGTGGGTAGAGCAGCTACAGATGGGCACAGTGCTGACCCAATGAAGAGTTCTGAGGAAGAAGATGCATCCCCTGAAGCGCATCAGCATGCCAGTGCAGTGGTATTGCATTTCTGGCTACGCAATTCTGGTACTGGATTGTGTATGGTGGTATACTATTCTCACATATCTTCTATTTTTGTGAGCATTCTTTTTGCCATTTAAAACATAATAAATCCATGGTAATGCACTAAGCGTTCGTGCTTCCCTATGCACTTTTTTTTACAGGTGTTCAGTAGATTCCCCCAATCAGCGGAGCATGCCTAAACGATAACTATCAATTGCACATTGGGACTTTACGGAAGAACCAAGTGCTGGAAGTGATTGTATTTGTGCTTTTGAGTTGAAGGGGAGGGGCATACAT